AGCAGCAGGTGGGAAGCAGGCGGGTGACTGAGTGACCGAGTGACCGCGCCTCCCACCTTCTCTTCCAGGGACCCCGAGCATCATGTTAAAGTGAAGCAGAGAAGCTCAGTGCTGAACATGCTAAGGAGGCTGGACAAAATCAGGTTCAGAGGTCACAAGAGAGATGACTTCCTTGATCTAGCAGAGTCTCCAAATGCCTCGGATACCGAATGCGGAGACGAGATACCCCTGAAGATACCTCGGACCTCACCTCGGGACATTGAGGAGCTGAGGGACCCTGTGAGTACGCTGACCCCTAGTGTCCCTGCCTCCTGGCCCCTCAGTGTCAACCCCAGTCCTCAGAGGCAGGAATGGGGCCTGCTCCCCCTTGTCCGTCACGCGCCTCCCACCCCGTACAGACCTTGCCGGGTGGCGGCTGGTCCTGGATGGAGCCCCCTCTGCAGCAGGGGTCTGCGCGGCACCTGGCTTGCCCTGAATTCCTCGCTATTTTTCCTGGGTGGTTGGTGAACTTCTCATGCAGGAGTGAGGTGGAGGCCCCCCCACCCCCCAGGCCTGAGCCCTGTGAGTGTTGACATGGGGTCGGGGAGGGCTAGAAGATACTGGCACATGGCTCTTCTGTGACCACACCAGGGTGGGTGTGCCAACCCGCAGCAGCCGGTGGAGCCCCCGCTGGGCCGTGTGGCCGGTGGGTGGGGAGCTCTTCATCCAGGCAGCAGATGTCTGCTCAGCAATCCGCGAGCCCTGCGGCCTGGGCGGGAAGCAGGCACGGGTGGGCCCTGCCTTCTGGAAGCTGTGTTTCACAGGCTGGGGGGTGGGACGGGCTCTCCGTGCCCCCTTCTCTCTGGCTGGGTATGATCACTGGGCTCAGTGTCAGTGATTCATCTGTCTGAATCCTCCCCACTGCCAGCAAAGAAGCCCAGAGCCATCTCCTGCCAGTTGTGGACGTCACCCCCGGGTGCACACCAAATTTGATGACCCCGTGGTTTTCTCTCCTGGCTCCTGAGCCAGTCTTTCTTTCCCAGTGTGGCCTGTGAGTGGTGGCCTTCCCTGGCTCCTTGTATTATTAACGCTTTATAATAGGGCAGTGACTGTGCGTTCGCTCCTGGTAGGAACTAATAATTTACTGGCGCTGCCTCCTGAGAGCCCTGCATTCAGGTAGGTGGGGCTGCTCGGCTTCCCGGGGCCTGCGCTGCAGAGCCGGGAGGTGGGTGCCTGGCCTGCCTGGACGCCTGCCTCTGTTCCCAGGTAAAGGTCAGTCCCGCAGCTGTGGGCCTGTGAGTGGGCCGGGACCCCCGCTGAGTGTGTCCCCTCATGTCGGTTATGTCCCAGAGCCACAGGGGCTTGTCTTGGCAGGAGAGCTGTGTCTTGCCTGGCTCTGGCCCGTGCAGGTATGGAGGACTGTGGCCTGGACCATCTTTGGGCTGAATGTGCGGTAGGCATCTGGGGACATGAACCCCCCCTCCCTCCCCAACAAACATACACGTGGTTCTGAGCTCAACATACCATGGCGGTGGGAGTGGCAAAGGAGGGGCGACAGGGATCCCACCCTGAAGCTGGGCTGTTCTCCTGGCTTCCCCTCTTCTGCTTGTCCATCTGTCTGTCCAGCCAGGGCTGCATGACAGCCACCTTGCTCCAGGTATTGTCTAGGTAGAGACCCGGCCTTGACCCAGGGCTGGGCCCTTGCATCTGAGTGTGCGTGTCGGAGGTGGGGTGCAGCAGGGCGGGGAGAAGAGGGCGGTGCCGTCTTCAGGGCCAGCCACCTGGGGTGGGGTCCTTGGCTGGCCATTCATCAGCCTTGAGGCTGGCACGCAATCTGGTTGTACCTGCCCATCGCGTGGTTGTGAGATCACAGGCGCTGTCTTGGAAGAAGACAGTGCCTGGCACACAGTGCTGCCCCGCTCCCTGTGATGGTCTGATCAGCCACCCAGCCAAGGGCCTCCTGCTGGAAGTGGTCTCTGCGTGTGGGCAGCAGGCAGTGGGCTGGGCTGCGAGAAGGCTCTGAGGCTGCGAGCTCAGGGCTGTGTGCCGTGTGGGTGAGGCAGGCGGGCTGTGTGGCTGGTGCAGCGCTTTGGTGTTGGTGGAGGGTGAGGTTTAGGTAGGGGGTGGATCTGGGGCGGGGGCTGTGCCAATGCTGTGCTAGGCTGGGTTTCTGTGGCCACCGGGAAGAACGTCGGCCCAGCTCTGGCACTCCCAGTCAGTGGGGGAGTAGAGAGTTTGTGAACATAGATTCTGGGACCTTGGCTCAGTGTCCTGACTTCAGGCAGCTTTGCTTGCCAAGGCCACTTCAGGGAGAGGTTCTGTCCTTGGGGGCAGGCCGTGGTCCCCAGGGTGTGTTCTGGTGGGTGAGCTGGAGGGTCAGGGCAGAGGGGAGCAGGTCCAGTTTTGCAGGTGCAGGTCTGGTTGGAGCATGGGAGAGCAGGAGGCGAGGCTGCAGGACGTCTGGACCTGGGGCAGAGCATCTGGATTTGGCAGAGCACTGGGGATCCCCTGCAGGGGAGTGTCGGTGTCAGAGCTGGCCACTTTAGGGTGGTTCACTGGGGAGTGGTCTGTAGAGTGTGAGCTCCTGGGGGTGGCAAAGTGCAGGGCTGGTTGGATGGGGCATGGAGTGGTCACAGGAAGGGCAGGTTGTGGGTGGAACTGGCTCTGATGTGCAGGTGGCGGTCTATGAGGTGGGAAGGGTCCTTGGGTGACATGTTGATTTGGAAGGGGTGTTGGCCCGTTGGGCTGTAGCTGGAGGAGGGGAGCGAAGGCAGAGGAGGCTGGGGCAAGGTCAGACCGTGGACCTGGGCTCTGCATCCCTGAGTCAGTGTGTGGGGCGGCGGGGAGGTGCAGAGAGGGAAACCACAGTGGGGACCCTGACACCTGGAATCCTGTCCGGGTTCAGCCTCATGGGAGAAGCGGGCCCTGTTGGGGGCATCATGTTGAGGGCCAGGTCAGGCACTTACTCACAGAAGATACCAGGACAGGCTGTTTAACTGGTTGTAACCTCAGCCTCAGCATCCCCAGTTTTAGAAGGGGACACGATAGTGCCTGCCTCCTAGGCCTGCTTGGAGAATTAACTGAGATGAGATGTGAGCAGTGCATGGCCGGCATCTTGCTCAGTGTTAGCAGGTGGGTAGTTACCATTACTAAGCACCATGAAATATGGACTCATAAAAGCCTCCTGGTTCTAGGCCCCCTCTGCAAAGCCTCATTCCTGCAGCTCATAGATCATGCTCCAGGGTCACGCTCATGAGACCCCTGGGGTGGGG